TGATCAATCAGTCAGGTTACAATCTTTCCACAATATATCACTCAGCTCATCTGGCACGCCAGCCAACTTGAGGAGATCGCCGTTCCTAGATGCAAAAGCTGCCAGACCATGGGCAAGTTTATTCTTCTCTCTCTGAACCCACTCAATCAGGTGAGATCGAAACTTGCACAGCTCTGTCTTGATGTCAGCTACAATCGGAAATAGGTACGACTGATTTGCTGCGCCTGGGCTGATCGCCTTCACCAGGGTGAGGCAATCGAGTTCTACATGTATTGATCCGTTATAGTATGTTGCCAGAGTCTGCAGCCCGCTCAGCAGCGCAAGGCCCTCTGCTTCTTCCACTGTCGTACATTTGCCCAGTTTGCATCCCATCGAGAAGACCGGGGCTGCTTGCTCGTTTCTAGCAACTGCACCGCACGCACTCACACCCGATGCAGGGTCAACAGAAGCGTCAGTATTTAATTTGATCACGCCCTTGCCTGGAGGGCGCCATTGCTTCCCTACAGGCTTGAGAGGATCTGGGCAGTGCTGTTCAAACAAATCCATGCAGAACATGCCCCTTTCGGCCTCTGATTTCTCCTGTACTGACCTGACTTCTTCATACTTAAGCAGGAAAGCCACTGATCTCGAGATCGCCTCCTTTCCATCACTATGGATTATATTATCCCTGAGAAACCATGCTCGCCATAGCATGATTAGGATTTTGTTCCGGGTGTCAGCATCGCATGTATTCAGGAGGTTTTGGAGCCAATCCTCTCCTGTGTACCAGAACGCATTTTCTTTCGGGAGCCTCCAATGATTTCTCATTGCTTGTCTTAGAGCTCTGCTTCTTGTGCACGATACCACAGCATGATACTCGTCTTCCTCCGCATTGCCGCATATATCACAGGTGCTGTTTGTGACAATCGTCCGTCTGCACTTGTTTGACTTGGTAGCTAGGGTGTTTGTGGCCACCCTCCATCAGAATAATTTGATTTTTCCAGGGATTTTCGCTTTCCTGATACGGTCCCAGGTGCTGTGGTCATCCACACTTGCCGTGGAGCTGGAAGTCTGAGGGCCGCTTCCTTTTATCGTCATCGCAAGCTTGTAGGCACTCTTGACAGAGAAATTACCGGAGTTCTCATAGTGCCAAGCCACACAATCCTCAGTCTCCCCTTTCGGTATTCTTATCTTAATAATTTCAGACACGTAGGAGGGATTGAATAACCGATTGATAAGTCCATGGTTCCAGTCTTTGGAGACCGGGTCAATAAGCTGATTTACCCATCTCAGTCTTGATCTGCACATGAAGTTGGCAACTTTTAATCCCTCTTTCCTTGGTATCCACTGGTCCCTTTGGATTTGAATGTTCTTTCCATTACCCACTCTCCAAATTATTCCTTTCTTTAGGGGCTCCAAGCCAAACTCAATTCCTCTCCATGCCTGTGAGGCATTGGAGGCAAAAACCGTGTCTAAAAGTTCCCCTTTGGGGTAGTACTTTGACTTGAGGACCCTCGCACACAAGCTATCCGGGAACTGGATTAGCCTCCATCCCTGCCTCGCCAGCAAAGCTTGGTTGAAGAAATGCATGTCTCTGAAGCCAATACCTCCACCTCTCTTTGGTTTCGTCATTTTGTCCCACGCCATCCAGTGGACTTTTCCGATGCTCATCCTCATCACCCCAATAGAAATCTCTAATCAGTCTCTCGTACTTCTCACAGAACCCCATGGGCATCTTGAAAACACCCATGGTGAAGGTTGGAAGGGCTTGGACAATTGATTTTACATGGACTTCCTTCGCCGCAAAGGACATATGTCTACCCGACCCGTTGCTGCATCTTTTGGTAAATCTTTCCATGATCGGTTGAAAATTATCTTCCTTCATTCTGCCTTCCGGTGTGAGAAGCCCAAGGTATTTGCTCTCAAAGGTTGAGGACTCGACCTCAAGTGTCCCTCTGATGTCCACTTGGATAGGACCGGGCATTTCTCACTAAACAACAAAGAACACTTATTCGGGCTTAGGAGTTGTCCAGTACCCCTCTGGAAGGTGGAGAGCACATTTTTCACCACCTCTGCTTGTTCAACCGAAGCTTTGAAGAAAAGAAGGCTATTGTCCGCGAATAACAGATTTGAGATGCTCGGGCTCCCTCGAGCAATTTTTAACGGCACAATGTTGCCCCCACTAACCTCCCTTTGCAGAATCCGAGAAAGGCCCTCTGCCACAAACAAAAACAGGTACGGGCTGAGAGGATCGCCTTGTCTAAGCCCACGAGATGGTGTGAACCTCTCAAGGAGCTCTCCGTTGCATCTCACCGAGTATCTCACGGACCGGACACAAACCATGATCCATGCAATCCATTTTTTGCTGAACCCATATATGTCCAATACTCCTTCCAAGAACCTCCAATCCACTCTATCGTAAGCCTTGGCGAGGTCAAGTTTATATGCGCAATGTGTATTCATAGGGTAATTGCTATGTTGGATTTTGTGGAAGCACTCAAAGGCAATCAGTGCATTATCCGTAATCATCCGGCCGGGGATAAATGCACTTTGGGTCTCAGATAAAAGGCCATCAAGGAGGGGACGCAACCTATTGACCAAGCATTTAGAAATCACCTTGTAGATGACATTACACAAGCTAATTGGTCTAAAATCCTTCAGTGACTGCGGGTCATTACCCTTGGGGATGAGAACAATGGCAGTATCGTTTAGACCATCCGGCATGAAACCATCAGCAAAGAAATTCTGTACTGCCTTCACTACCTCTTCCTTCAAAAGCCCCCAATTCCTTTGATAGAACCGGGCGGGTAAACCATCCGGTCCTGGGGCCTTTAGCGGTCCAATCTGAAAAAGTGCATCGCCGATTTCCTTCTCAGTAAAGTCTCTCTCCAGATCGTCATTCATTTCTTGGGTGACCATCTGCGTGTACAAGTCCAGAAGTTCGTGTGGGGCCCTTATCCTCAGTAAACAATTCCTTGAAATACTTTGTTGTCATGTTCTGAAGGTCTTCCTTCTTCTCTACCCACAGACCATCACCATTCTTCAGTTTCGTAATGGTGTTTTGTTTTCTCCTCCAAGAAGCTTGCCGGTGGAACCATTCTGTGTTCCTATCTCCTTCGCGTAAGTAGGTTGCTCTGGACCTCTGGCGCCACATAATTTCCTCGCGTAGGAGTAGTTCATCCAATTCGTCCGTGACTCTTTTTATCTCCCTGTCATTTGCTGCACACTGTGGTTTATTCATGAGGGATTGTAGCTTACTCCGCAGCTTTTTCGTTTGTCTAGCCACTGAACCAAACTCTGATTTACTCCACTTACCCAGCCCTTGCTGCAGAGAATGCACCTTATTCTGAACCTCCTGAAGTGTTGCAGCTGCTCCTCCCCTGCTCCATATCTCCTGAACCAAATCTTGCAGCGACCCCTCCCTCTCCCACATGGCTTCATATTTGAATTCCTTTTTCTTCCTGTACTCTAGCTTCCCCCCAAACTGAAGCAGGAGCGGCAGGTGGTCAGATCATGTTGAGCACAAATGCTGAATGTTAGCATTTTGGAATCTATTACACCAGCTGGGAGTAGCTACCCCGAGGTCCAACCTAGCCTTCACATTTTTCTTGCCGGACTGCTTGTTGTTTTAAGTCCAGCCCAGCCCTCTGAAGCCCAAGTCATGCAGGTTGCACCACTCCAATACCTCCCTGAAATCTGCCATTTGTTTCTCTGATCGCTTTGTAGCCGAATAATGTTCACTCTGCCATTGGGTCTCATTAAAATCCCCAATTACTAACCATGGGGCATTAGCATTATGTTTTATCCGTCTCAGCAAATTCCACATATGGATTCTTTCATGAGCTTTGGGCTCACCATACACAAAGGTTCTTCTCCACCATTGATCATTGGGACTATTTTTTATCAACACATCCATGTACCTCGGGCCAACTGAAAGTTTTTTTATTTGCACGGACTCATCCCAGTACAAGGCGATACCGGCACCCTTTCCTCTGCCATCATGCAGTGTGCAGTTCTTGAGGCCAAGCCTCCACTTAAGACCATTGACCCTATCTTTATTTTGCCTAGTTTCCGAAATAAAAACGATAGACGGGCGGTGTGCACTCACGAGTTGCACCAGTTCTTGAACTGTCCGGGGCTGCCCTAGGCCCCGGCAGTTCCAACTTAGGAGCTTCATGGCTCCTGACGGACGCTGCCATTCGCGTCCGCCAGTTCGCCGAGAGCCCCGGGCTCGGTCGCTTCCTGTTTTTCCTCTCCTCCAGTGGTGTTCTGACCTTCCTCCTCAACTGCAACCTTGATTTTCTTGAGTTATTCTGTCCCATCTTTCCTACTTTTCGCATCCTCAAGAGCTTCATCACCATTTCCACGCCCGCCTCTTTTTCCAAGAACCGACGCAACCTCGCCAACTCCCTTCCTGGCCCGTTTCTTCATCTCCACCTTGTTTCCACTTCCTGCGAGGAAAACCATCTTGGTGCTCTTTAGGTTGACTCGCTGTTTTTCACCTGACTTTGCTGTCTCCTCTGCATCAGTGTCCACCCCGGCCTTCGTGAACTGAGCCACTGGTCCGAACCCAGGAGGGAAAGGAGGGTCATCCTTGGTAGTGATCATGCCAGCAAGGTCGCCCCCTCCTTCCTGGCCTGGAAGGGTAGCATCATCCTCTGTTGGCGCCCTGTCCTCTGTATCAGCAAGCTTCGGGTACACAGGAGCCAGTGCCCCCAGCATCCCCTCGTTCCCAATATGGGCCGAGGCATTAGGCATCACCCGCGTCGCTTGCACCTCTGCCTGAGGCCTTCCATCTGAAACTTTGATTGCACTGACTGCTGCAATAGCTTCTTGAACCAGAGGATTAGCAAGGATCGCCTCCGATATCCTCTCTTCGTCATGCCCTGTCAGTTTATCTGTATCCCCTCTGAACACCTCCTTCCCGAAGCTGAGAAACCTCCTGGCACTGCTCACAACCGGAGCCACAAAACCACCCCTACTTCTACTCTTTTTAAAAGGGGAGGCACGCATTGTTGCCGTGTACCTCATCTCCTGGAGGTCCACTGGCAACTTACAGTCGTGTTAGCCATGCCCAAGGAAACCACAATAACCACAAAACCGAGGAACTCTCTCATACTTGACCTCTAAGAGAAACACCTCATTGCTAGCCTTATCATGGGATGTGATTTTGTTGCAAAGCGGTTCATCTACGTCATGTTTCACTCTAACTCTTATGAAATCACCCCAGATCTTACCACTCCTATTTGTGTCCACCTCGAGGACTTCTCCCAGCATGGCTCCAAGCTTCCACGCCACCCCCTCATCCAGCATGACAGGGGGAACATCGTGGATGCGCGCCCAGATTGGCATGAAGGCGACCTCTACTTCAACCGGTGGCGTGTGTTGGAAATATGCCCTAGAGGCAATAATAAAAGGATTATTATTGTATTTTCTTGTTCGTGATAATTGTCTTTTATTCATGCTATAATTGTATTATCCAGAAATCGTAATACACGTGTGAATACTTAGACCACAACATGTCCCTAGTGAGCCTCTAGTTGACTAGCTCGTTGATCAACAGACAGTCATGGTTTCCTGACTATGGACATTGGATGTCATTGATAACGGGATCACATCATTAGGAGAATGATGTGATGGACAAGACCCAATCCTAAGCATAGCACAAAGATCGTGTAGTTCGTTTGCTAGAGCTTTTCCAATGTCAAGTATCTTTTCCTTAGACCATGAGATCGTGTAACTCCCGGATACCGTAGGAGTGCTTTGGGTGTACCAAACGTCACAATGTAACTGGGTGGCTATAAAGGTGCACTATAGGTATCTCCGAA